GGGGGGGGGGCGGGCTAAGTGCGGGATTTGGCTCCCGGGCTGGTCCGGGGTCCCCCCTACGTGCCGAGGGAAGTGAGGTTTAGTCCCAAGGTGCAGTCGCAGCAGGAGAGGGGAGAGAGAAAGTGGGGTGCTTTGCCAGCAGTTGCTACACACCCATGGAGGAGGATAGAGCAGCTTCGGAGCACACAGAGGTTTGCCGTTTCAGGTCTGGGGGGGAAGGGGGAGGGGTGGTACAGGGGAAGAGGGTGGGGAAGAGAGGGGAGGGGTATCGAGCGGGCCATGGGGGTCTTCTGATTGACGGGGGGGAAAGCACCTGCAGATACTTGGTAACACAGTGGAGAAAGGACATGGTCCGGGAGAATAGTGGGGTTCCTTTAGAGTGATGGGGGTCCCAGCCAAGCTGGGGACTTGAAAAGCACCTCAGCCTTGGATGGGTACAAGGGCCAGAATGGTTGGTCAGTTTGTTTGTCTGTTTGGTTTTGGCTCATCTGCTGCTACTGCCCAGGTTCAGCATGTTCCGGATAAGTTTGCTTTACTCTGTTACATCCTGAAAGGGTGGGCAGGACAAAGGACTGTTCCTTGGGTATCTCCTTATGATTGTATATAAATAGGTGATAGTAAAGCAGGAAATTAAAGACTTGCCCAAACCATTCTAACAGGAACGTAACCTGTGTATCCCTGTGTGGTTGCGAGCTATGCTGGCGATGGTACATGCCTTCGGTAGGGTCGCCCATGCCAGACAGGTCAAAACAGCAGGGTTGGATACAATAAATAAATCTATGGGCAGGATGAGCTCACTAGCCTTCTCGCAGTCATCCTAAGAGAAGGACAACTCTAATCTCAAACCCGGGCAGATGGAGCTCACTTAGCCCTGTAAGGCCATCCATCTAAGAGAAGGTCACTAATCAAACCTACGTCCTGAGGATCTCGCTGCCACCGTCCAAGCTCACTCGGCCCTGGCAGATGAACCTCAGGATTAAAGAGTGGGTTCAGTTCCGCGCATACTGCATCTCACCTAAAAATCCATTGCTCAGGCTTGAAGGCTTTACCCACATGCAAAAAGTCCTGTAGCGACGGACGAGGGTTGAAACGGCAGGTGAAAGGTGCACTGGAAGCCACAGACTCAACTCTGCATGCAGGCGGTTCAGGATATTGGTCATTTGAGACTGACCGGAGATGACAGTCTCTTGGGGCAGCACCCTGAACGACCAAGCAGCCTTTTCAAGGACAGCACTGCTTGCTCCACTCGGAGAGGGGCCTAGAAAAGGTGACCTAAACAAAGCTCATCTCCACTTTCACCCAGTTGGTTAACCGCAGACCAACGGGCATCTTCTTCCAATGCGGTCGCACAAAGATCAAAAGACAAAGGCATGCACCTGCCTCCAAAGGTGTACCTAAATTAACTCTAGCATGTTGGAACATCAGAACCATGCTCGATTCTGCGGATAGTGGACGTCCTGAGCGGCATTCTGCCCTAATTGCCTATGAACTGGTTCGTCTCAACATCGACATTGCTGCTCTCAGTGAAGTTCGCCTTCACGAGGAAGGAAACCTCAGAGAACATGGTGCCGGTTATACACTCTTTTGGTCAGGTAAGCCCAGAACTGAAAAACATCTCTCAGGTGTCGGCTTCATGATCAAAAACTCTATTCTTCCCAAACTCGAAAATCTGCCAACAGGTCACTCTGACCGCATTATCTCCCTACGCCTTCCACTACACAACAATCAACACCTTGTCCTCTTTAGTATATATGCCCTAACTCTCCAAACTGGCCCTGCCGAAAAGGATAAATTTTATGCTGACCTGCGCCACCTTACCCAAAAGGTGCCTGCAGATGATAAGATCATTATCCTTGGTGATTTCAACGCCAGAGTAGGTAAGAATTTTGATGCCTGGAAAGGAATATTAGGCAAGCATGGTGTTGGAAACTGCAATGATAATGGTCGACTCCTGCTAGAATTCTGTGCAGAGCAACAGCTCACCATCACTAATACTATCTTTCAACAGAAAGATAGTCTGAAGACTACCTGGATGCACCCCAGATCTAAGCACTGGCACCTCATTGATTATGTCCTGATGCGACGGAGAGATGTCCGCGATGTCCTCCATACCCGCGTGATGCCCAGCGCGGAATGCCAAACAGACCATCAGCTTGTGCACTGCAAACTCAATTTCAATCTTAAATTCAAACCTAAAATGGGCAACATCCCAAGGAGAAGACTCCAAGTTAACAATCTCCAATCAGCCACAGTAAGAGAGAGATTCCAGGCAAACCTTCAAACTAGGCTTGAAAACCATTCCACAGATTCTGCAGATTATGTGACCAATACATCTGTTCTTGAGCAAGCAGCAGTCACAAGTATAGAGGCCATGCTGATGAGAACGCAGCTGCGATGGGCAGGGCACATCTCCAGGATGAAGGACCACCGCCTCCCGAAGATCTTGCTTTATGGTGAACTTGCCACTGACTGCCGCATGAGAGGAGCCCCGAAGAAAAGATACAAGGACTCCCTGAAACAACATCTCAGCCTTGGCCATATTGATCACCATAACTGGTCTACTCTGGCCTCAAATCGGGAGGCCTGGAGACATGCCATCTATAATGCTGCGGATGCCTTTGAGAACACACGCAGGATCACTCTCAAGGAGAAAAGGCAACGCAGAAAGAACCGTGTCTTGCGGAATGCACCATCTAAGGAGTCTTTCTGTTGTGCCTTCTGCAATCGGATATGTCTGTCACGTATTGGCCTCATAAGTCACCAACGTGCCTGTAACAAACGTGGATAAAGCCTTCTCAAATCTTCGTTTGCGAAGCCCAGCCATGAATGAATGAATTTTGTCTGTCAGAAAACGTATTCAAGATCCAGTGACATAAAGAATATACTTTTCTCTATATTGACCTTAAACAAACAGTTCAATGGAGATTTTTGATTTTTGATAAAAGACAAATAAGTGGGCACATTACCAGAACTTTGGAGGGGCTCCAAGGACCGTACGTACTGTGAAGAAGATGAAGATGAGGAAGAAGGGGTCCCAAAGACCCCAGACCAAATTCCCAAAGGAGTTTGTCGGGGGGCAGAACTGGGCAGAACTGGGCAGAACTGGGGGGTGGATAGTTTTGGGATTGGATGGACCTTATTATAAAATCATAGAGCCACTGTCTGGGTGCACGTGTCATGTGTATTCCCCTGGGCCTGCAAGCCTGATTAAAGGACCCACTCTTTTTATCTTATACACTAAATTTGCCTAGAGTTTTTTTTCTCTGCTATCTCTTTAGGTTACAATACACATCATTCACAGATTGTGAAAGACAGTTGATTTTGCATGATATGGCCCCCTGCCAAAAAAACCCCAAATTCTAACAAAGAAAAATTAAAAATTCTTATGTAAACATTTGTTTGCTTACCTGACAAGCTTACCAGAACTATTCTTGACTGTACCACCTATAATCAATTCCTCCTGCCAATGCATGTATTTTCTCGACAGTCCATAGCATCCACCACTCAAAACAAGAGCCACATCAAGAGGCTAGAAAAAAGTTTTAAAGAAGCAATTCATCAGTTGCATAACTTCAGATAAATCCTAAGTCAACACCTAGTTTACTGAAATAACAGATATGGAAGATCATCTAGGAAGTCTACACAGAGAAATGTGATCAACAAATGGGAGTAGACAAACTAACCTGATACTTGTTCACCACATAGCAACTTCTCCAAAGCCAAAGTGACTGAGAAAGGGATATATCAAGTTGGGTCAACAAAACTGACCCTACTTGAAGGAAGGCCTTGCTGCACAGTGTCAGTGTACAGCAGCAACCATATTCCAGGAGTAACTGTGTCTACCTGAGGCACATTGCTTGCTGAAATTATATGTCAACACATTGCCACACCTATCCAGTAGCTGAGAACTGTAATTTCACTCTAAATATGTGTGATTAATATTGCATCACAGGATGAGGGAAAGTTAGTTACCCTGGGTTAATTATCTAATAGGAACCAAATAATGAAATCACTGAAGAACAAAAAATATATATTACTTGGAAGGGAATGATACCCTTTTCTCTCACCACACATACAGAGCCTCCCTTGAAAAGATTGGCACACAGGTAAGCAAACTTACTTTGGTGAAATTTTTGTTGGGAGCTGTGATTGGACAATCGGGATCAGCAGGATTCAGACAAGGTTGATCCATATAACCATGACCAACCTCTGCTTTTTTCAGCATTTCTTCCCAGCTCTCCACTTGGTAATTTATTTTTTTTAACTTTTCTAAGAATTCTAAGGGGTCAAAGTTGATCCACTGAAAAGGAGGTTTCCCTCTGTTAAAGAAATCAAGGGAGAATGACAAAAAAAAAGACAAAATAAGTACTGAAACATAATTTTTTAATTTGTATTTTTGCAAATGTTGAAGTTGTTTTCTGTTACAAACTATAACCTTTTCTGGTAAGGTTGTTTCATAAAATGAAATGTATGTTTTAATTATATTTGTTTATGCATACTTTTCTTGTAGGCCCTGTGGTGATTTTAACAAAAATATCAATACTTACATACCAATTTACTGTACGAAAGGGAATATTCACATGTTAAAAAAAAATTCATTTACAAACCAAGTAAAACAAACCATCAAGCACCTAAATAACAAAAAAGCAACCAACTGCTGCTTCAAAGAATTTGGAGAGAGAGGAGAGGGGAAGAAGGGAGGAAGCTGAAGAACAAAATCCTTTCACATAGTATCAGATTACTTTTTGCTGGTCTAATAATCATCTTGCAAATGTAATCAATCAATATAGCTGGTCTTTGTTTATCTATAACAATTCTGTGCTCCTGCAAATGCCCTGGCTGCTTGACTATCAACCATCAAGCTTTCCTGCTACCATGGCTGTCATCAATGTCACATCTCCCACCCTCCACTTTTGAATTTGTGATGTTAACAGACTACAAAGGCTTTTGGTTGCCTTATTCTGTGATTCAAACCACACTGTATTTGCTTAAACAGGCTTAATTCTTTATTTGAAATCTCCCAACCAGAAAATGCAACCCCCCCTTATTTCCCCATCTAAAACTGTACACTAAACGTTGCAAATTGCTTTCACAGAGACATGCAAACCAGGTCAGAAACCATAACTCAAATGTTAAGTCTTTTGTAAATAAATGCCTGCACATATTAACAATTAACTCTCTGAACAATCCAGGACATACAGTATCACACTTGATAAGAAACCACCCATAAAAGATATATTTTATTTCTTTAATGATCTCATAAGCAAACGATTTGAGTTTTATTCCTTAGGAAGACTTCAGTATTTACCTAAGAGACCTACATTTTCTTAGAAAAATATTAATTCCCAGCTAATATTTTTTTAGTTTGGGGGTGAAGGAAAAAAAAAGAAGGAAAGGAAAAAGTTTATTTCCCAAAAAGCATACAATTAAAAAAGCTTGAATTCAGACTTTATATTTTCTTTTGCATGCTAGCAGAACGAGAAAAGTAATGACACAGGACTTAAGTTGATGCATACAAATCATCTTTTAGAAACAGAAAAATCTTTGCTCAATTAAAAAACATCCATGCACATTTTCTACAAAGACACAACAATTTTTTTTTTATTATTTTTATTTATTATTTTTTGGTTAAACCAGAATCTGAATAAGCACTGGGATACATCTCAAAATCATGCATCATTTTGCTATTAAAACTATTAACTGGAAAGTTATAAAAACAGCATGCTTACAATAGATAGGCAGTTCCTGACTGTAGCTTTGCTCCCTCCCAGAAGCAGTCCAAAGGAGTGATGATTAAACAAGGATAAAGATATTCTATGGTCTGTCAAAGTCAAAAAAGGGAAAAAACCACAATTAGACTACAATATAATCTAAACAACACAAGCTGAATCATGAAAATATAAATTGTTTATAATCAAATGCCTGTTATGCCTACCTGGTCCATATACCCTGCTTCTGTGATGAGTTCTCCTGATTTATAACATAAGTGTTCCAATTTCCATTTTCTGTAATGAATATAAAGAACAAGTTTTTTTCTTTAACAATTACTGAAAAGTTATTTTTAAAATGTAACTATTGGGTGTGGCTGAGATGGAGTTCATTTCCCCATAGCAGCCCTCACAGAGCTGTGCTCTGCATTGGTAGCTAGAAAGGTGGTGAGAACACATCAGTGTTTTGGTTACTGCTGAGCAGTGCTGGCACAGCATCAACTCTGTCTCTCAGCATTCCTTCCTCCTCTCCTGCAAGGGCAAGATCCTGGGAGGGGACACAACCAGACCAGATGACCCAAAGGGATATTCCATACAATGTGACATCAACTCAGATATAAAAGCTAAGGAAAGGAGGAGAAAGGGGGGGACATTTGTTGTTTGCAATGTTTGCCTTCTGGAGCAACCGCTCCATGTGCTGAAGCCCTGCTTCCCAGGAAGTAGTCAAACACTGCTTGCTAATGGGAAGTAGGGAATAAACCTTGTTATTTTCTTCTTCACTTGTGCGTGCACAAACTTTCACTTTGCTTTAGTAAACTGCCTTATCTCAACCTACGAGTCATTTTCCATCTTCTTTTCTCTCCCCTGTCTAGTTGGAAGGGAGAGTGATAGAGTAACTTGGTGGGCACCTGGCATCCAGCCAAGGTCAACTCACTACAGTAATATACATTAAAATTATTATTTATATAGACATGATGGCCTCAAGTAGTGAATCACTGAGAAAAGACAAATTTTATTCAATGTAGGTATGCTCACTTGTGAATTAAGATAGCACTTGGCAACACAAGAGAGAGGTCAGCTTCAGGCTCAGACTAGCTCTGACTCATGCATGTAGAAGAAAAGAAATCATTAGATTATTATAATGTTATTATTCATGGCTAGGCTTCGCGAACGAAGATTTGGGAAGGCACTATCCACATTTGCTACAGGCACGCTGGTGGCTTATGAGGCCAATACATGACAGACATATCCGATTGCAAAAGGCACAGCAGAAAGACTCCTTAGATGGTGTATTCTGCAAGACACGGTTCTTTCTGCGTTGCCTTTTTTCCTCGAGAGTGATCCTGTGTGTGTTCTCGAAGGAGACAACTGCGTTATAGATGGCATGTCTCCAGGCCTCCCGATTTGAGGTCAGAGTAGACCAGTTATGGTGATCAATATGGCCAAGGCTGAGATGTTGTTTCAGGGAGTCCTTGTATCTTTTCTTTGGGGCTCCTCTCATGCGGCAGCCAGTGGCAAGTTCACCATAGAGCAGGATCTTCGGGAGGCGGTGGTCCTTCATCCTTGAGACGTGCCCTGCCCATCACAACTGCGTTCTCAGTAACATGGCCTCAATACTTGTGACAGCTGCTTGCTCTAGTACAGATGTATTGGTCACATAATCTGACCAGCGGATGTTAAGGATTGTACGGAGACAGCGTTGATGGAAGTGTTCTAGGACACGCAGGTGGTGGCGGTAGATGACCCATGATTCGGAACCATATAAGAGAGTAGACAACACTATGGCTTTGTAAACACTGATCTTGGTGCTTTTCTTCAAGTGTTTATTAGGCCATACTCTTTCGTGGAGTTTTCCAAAAGCACTGTATGCCTTAGCTAACCTGTTGTCTATCTCTCCGTCGATCTTACCATCTGAGGAGATGAGGCTACCAAGGTAATTAAACTGTTGGACTGATTTGAGCACTGATTGGCCAATGGTGATGTGGGGATGATGGGGGACTTCCTGAGGTACAGGTTGAAATGTTATTATTACTATGTTATTAAATAGCCCAGCAATTCCACCCACTGGCATTTCTCTTCCATTTTCATTTTCCCTTTAAGCCTGAATTACTGGAAGGCTTTTAATTGTTAGAAATCCCATCAATAAAGTCACATTTTTAAGAGCACAGTTACCACTTCTTTACCAAGAAAAATGCTGGACACTGTAGCTCTGCTCATAAGGGTACATTTTCAGAATCTCATGCAATACCTCTTACACCATTTTATTTGTTAAAATGTCAACTGGTCACTGCTATCATGACACAATTTGAAGCATCAGTAACTAGTGACATCAAAACAGTTCTAATGGAAGTGCTATCCATTAAAAGTATATGCAGAGAAATATTTGTCCACTTCATGTTACAGATGATCAAGAAAAGTTTTGATTTTCTTCTTACCTGTTGTACATATAAACATCTACTCTGTTGACCTGAAGTGCAGAGTCAAGGTGCTGTCTGAGTGCTTCTATTGTTAGTATATTGGCACCATCTTCATGTGGAGTCTGAATCATGAGCTGAGGGTTAAACATGGCCTCTTCGCCAATCTTCTACCATGTATAATTTAATTCTTGACTCACTCGTCCACCAACTGATGGATAAACATTAACAACTTATTCTGGATTCACATGATGAGCACTCACTGGTCAAAAAAATCTTTATCATGTGCATGGAATATTCTACCTCAAACCAATTACAGCATAGCTCTAAATCTAATACCAAATTTATTTTAGTAAAAATGCAACAAAAAACATATTCCCTATCAAATATATGCCATTGTCCCTACTGCACTAAAATACTGATGTGCAAATTGGAGCCTTTTAAACGACATGGTTTTTTATATTAGAACCAATATTCCATATGTAAAAAAACCAACAAAAAATCCTTTCCTTGCCTACCAGACCAAATACTCTTATGTTACCATTTCTTTCGCTTGTATAAACAGTCTGCTCCAATAGCACATTTCAAGACAAATGTCTTCAATTTACACTCCTCTAAATAATTTGGCAAAGGTAGAAGGGAGATGCTTTTCTTCAGTTAAAAAAAGGGAAGAGGGAAAGAGTAAGTGATCATGAGTACTTCTTTCAACCTTATATAAAGGGAAAAAATAATAAATTCACACAAAGAGGTGCAGTCCTGAGTGCAACAAAGTGTAGCAGAAAGGACCATCTAGAAACAATTTACCCTAGTGGTTCAGTACCTGCATAACATGGTGTGCCGCAGGGAATAATTAATACACAACATCTTTTTCTAAACCTTCATTAGCTGAACAGGTATGTTCCATATTAAAACATGGATTTAAAAAAAAAAAAAGGAAAAGGTAGAGACTGCAAAGAAGACAGGCTCTAGAGGGAGTCAACTTGCCTTGACAGACAAAATTACATAAGAATGAAAAATTATCTTCCACTTACAAAAAAGCATTCAGTTAGAGTACATATATACTTTATATAACCTCCCCTATAGTCTTTCTAGAAAAGGAATGTGGGAGGGGATGAAAAAAATGCAACCCATTATCTGGATCAAGACCATATCCAGATGAGGAGGACAAGAACAGCAATATATTGTTTCCATCCCTTACAATGTATTAACTTTATTGCTATGCTAAGGCCAAACTACAGACCTGGTCTAATTTTTTACATTTTCTTCAGTTCTAGTCACCTTGGCACTGGTGATCTAAATTACTGTCAAAGTTTGATTCTGCAGTTATGGGAATAGAAACTATACATGTAAATCTCTCTCTTTTTAGACCACATAATGGAAGACTGATCTGTAGCCAGCCAGCAGTGTGAGAGATGACATTATCAAGTCTTAACAAACTTAGGACATATTCAATCACTTGGACCCTCATTCTACTCGCAACCCCCCTGGAGCTAATGGGACCATCAGACAAGAAGCTAGGCCCCAGCATGGATAAAGTTGTCAGATTCAGGCTCTCAAGAATTATAATCATTCTGGCATGAGGCAACACTTAATTTTTAGTTCAAGAATTCTTTAAAGAAATAAGTATTTCTACAACACACTCCAACCATCTTCTCAGTCAGTCTGTCATGTGACACTGCCTCCTTCACATCAAGTAACAATGATCATCCCACAGTAACAAAAAATAAAAAGCAAAGTATAAATTCCATACCTAGATTCCCTTCATAATGTATTAACATCCCTCTTATTACAGTGACAGGATATACACTAAATAAGGCTGCATATGCATGGTAAAAAAAAGCTACTGTGAATTTCTATCAATAATTAAACTCTAAAACCACTTAGACTTTGCCTCAAGTGTTTGAGTATATGCACATTAATCACAACTAAATGCAAATTCAAATTAAATAGCATACTCCATATCAAATACTCATTCTAGTTTAAAAGTTACTTTGCAAACCCATATATCAAATTTGTTGTACTGCTGCAGTGTTGAAAGAAGTGATTGTCCCACTATGCTCAGCATTGGTATGGCCTCATCTCAAGTACTGTGTGCAGCTTTGGGCTCCACAATATAAGAAGGATATTAGAATGTGTCCACTGGAGCGCAACAAAGATGGTGAAAGGACTAGAGGGTGTGACTTATGAGGAGTAACTGAGGATAGTAGGATTGTTCAGCTTTAAGAAGAGAGTGAGGGGTGACCTCATTGCTGTCTACAACTTCTTCATGAGGGGGAGCAGAGAGGGAGGTGCTGATCTCTTCTCTCTGGTGTCCAGTGATAGGACATGAGGGAATGGCTTAAAGCTGCATCGGGGGAAGTTCGAGTTTAGGTTTAGGTTGCCCTGGATGGAGTCAGGAGTTGGACTTGATGATCCTCATGGGTCCCTTCCAGCTCAGGATATTCTATGATTTTATGATTCATTAAACTCCAATTTCACTCATGAGACTGATGTTCGTGTCCACTGCTGTCTTACTCCAGCAGCTGGTATATAATATGCTAATAAATTTTACTTTGTCTTACAGGGACAACGCAGTGGGGAAAAGGGAGCACGTGGATTATAATCTATACATCTTGGAATAAAAGCTTGCTTTTGCAGTTCGTACTTCAAAACACAAAATGTCTCTTTTTTTGTTTGTTTGTTTAAATACCACTCAAGATAATAAAGATCCAATTGGATGAGGACTTTGGAGTCAACCATAAACATCTGTTCCTGCTACTATACTCTCTCCCATTCCACTCACACTCCACTTTTGAATTTAACTAGGACTTGAACCAACAAATCAAACCATGCAAGACAAAGGACATTATTCCTACCTGCTGAAAGTGACCAATTGTTTATTTTCAAAAGAAATTATTGCCTCCTAGTCAAGATCCTGCCAAACTACATTAATTTCATTGAACAATGAAGATTTAGCTAATCTGACTTGCATCAATCACATAAATCTGTCTTCAGAAGCAAAGCTGTTTTTTTACCTTTTACATTAAAACAGTAATAACAAAAACATCCAAGAAAGCAGGCACATGTTCCAGAATTCAACAATAGAGCTGATGCGCATTCTTCTTAAGGCATTACACCAAATAATTATTTACTTGATGGGTTCATTATGAACATTTCTTCTCACAAAAAGAATAAAGATAACTCCACAGGCTAAATGCAGATACTTTATACAACATAACACTCATACAAAAAGATTAAAAACCTAGATTGTGGGGGAAAAAGATTATGTGAAAAAATACAGATGGACTGTTATAGATTAGGAATTCAGGGGAATTTTTCTTCCCCTGCTCCACTCCAAGGGAAAACGGAATGGGGGAGGGGGGGGGGGAAGGGAGGTCATTAGCTTTACAAAGGATGTACCCTGGCCCCGCTGATGGGCCATTTAGAGAGGCTGGGGAGAGAGGAGGGGCTGGTTCTGTTCTGAGGGGAGAGGGGCAGACTGCGTTGCTGGCTCTCGGAGTGAGACGGGGGTCTGCGTGCACGCAGGCATTTGGGGAGGGGGACTGGAGGTGTGGTTTTTCTTTTGGCTGCTCATCCTGGTCAACTCGACTTCTCATCCTGCTGGCTTCGACCTGCCTGTCCCGCTCCCCAGATCTGCTGTGTCTCATCGGAGAGTTTGCATGCCCGCGGGAGAGAAGGGGGAGTTTTTGAGAAGCCATCACTTGAGACAGCGGTGAGTCCCGTGGGAGTGTACTGCCTTCCTTCCCTTTCTCCCCCACTGAGGGAAGGACCCCCCATTTCCTTCTCGGCTTCCTCCCGCAGTCCAGGACCGCTCCCTCCACACCCCTCTTCCTGTGTGGTGACTGCCGGAGCCCAACAACGCCCCCTGCTGACCACGACAGGGTACTGCAGGTCCTACAGCTTCAGCGATCCCACAGTGCCCCCTGCGGGCCACAACAGGGTACTGCAGGCTCTACACCTCTAGCGATCCAGCAATTTCCCCTGCAGGCAACGATTAGGACAAAGAAGTATTCCTTCAGACTTTTTTTTTGTTTTCCTAGGACTACTGTCTATTTTTTTGTGTTCTGTTACTGGTTTTGCCAACATACATATATCTTTTAATAAAGGGTTGTTATTTCTTCTGTTTTTTCCACACTTCCTCAATTAACACCCCTTAATTTTGAATTTACAATTGCTGAGAGAGAGGAGTTTGGTCTATTTCATGACTCATCCTCTTTAGCAAACATTCCAGTCTCATCAGACTGAGACATGGGTAAAAAGCAAATATATACATCAGTGGCCTTTCAGTATATCAGAAGCAATAAAGAACAAGAAAAAAGACTAAAAAAATTATAAAAAGTTTCTACCAGGTCGCTACCTTCCCCCTGTCATTTGCTGCAAGCATGGAAGCAGAGTTTACTGCAGCTAAAAAGCTGCTGTTAGCTCTCCTTGCTAAGCAAGGTGAAACAGTAGCTGAGAAGGTATTTGACAAGCTTATTGCTTGGACCTGTGAAAACGGTTTCTTTAAAGTGCCCCCTCTCCTTTTCGCCTTTGACGAATGGCGAGGTTTGGGAGATAGACTTTGAGACTTGATTACCCTCGCTGCTACTACGAAACTTCTCGACCGTGCAGTCATCCTGTTGAAGAGGGGAGTGCGTCGCGGCCTGGCCCACGCTGCCCCGACCGAACTGTGTGAATTCGAACTGTGGCCACCGCCACCCCGTGCGGAATCGTGGTGCAGACGAACACCAGAGAGACTCTATGGCCGGAAAACCCTCACGGCACCGCGGGGGTAAAGCAGGAGTGCCCGAGAGCCGGCAGGAGAGCAGCCCGGCAGTAACGGTGCAAGAAAAAACCAGGAGCGGCCCCAGAGGGAAACTGGGATGGAGCAACCCCGGAAAAGTATCACTTCTTGTTGAGAAGGGGAGCAGGTTAGAAGGCTGTTTTCCCGTGTTTCTGTTAACTCTCGTGTTGACTCTGTTGTCTGTCCAGTGTGTCGTTGTGGGCTCACGGTGTTGCTAACTATGCCGTGCTAGTGTGTGTGTGTGTGTGTGTTAGGGGTTGTGCGTGTGTGTGGAGAAGTGACCATGGGTTTGTTAGTAACTGTTAAAACCCAGGGATAAGGGTCCGGAAGAGGTGTCTCGGATGACACAGGAGCATAGGAATTTGCCTTTGAGATTATTTAAAC